GAAGAAAGCCACAGGAAGCCCGCAAAGTGCAAGTACAGTTTGCAGAGTATCACAAAGTATCGCCAAGTGGAGTGTTAGGATGTGTCTGGAGCTGAGAGACAATGAACTTAATCATTGACACACATGTTCAGAGCGGCCATTGCCAAGTACCAATGTCAAGCCGGTCTGATATCCCAGGACCGCAGGTTCAGGGCTTTGGACTCTAAAAGAAGCAAGGAATTACGATGGAATCTTTGTAAAAGGTTAGAGTCTGAATGGGCATTACACCACACAGAGGGAAGTACGTACTTGACTGGACAGTTGATCCAGTGTTGCTTGTTACGGTCATCATTTTAGTAAAATGAGCAAATATTATATGTAACTGTTTTAATAAAGACTACTGGTTTGACATTTACTGGAATGAGTAGAAAGTTAATGGCTCTGGATTTTATATTGCCAGTGTTGTTCCAATGAAAGCCCGTACTAAGGCATCTGATGGGAGACGACCCTAAACGAAGGTACAGTGTCCACGGAGATTGGTCCGCTAAGTATATGGAACAATCACCAAATGACTTACTCAAACATCCGGTTTCTTACATGAGGAATCTTGCCCTCAGAAGATATTACTGCCTGGAACGGTAGATAAGAAGTTGACTGTAGGAGAGGGACTCCCACTATTTATACTAAGAGCCCTGATTCTAATTGTCTTTCTAGAGATTTGTTTATATCACAGAATCTGAAGTTTTTGGCTCCCAACTTGAAACTCTTAATTCCTCATAAAAAGCTCCAGAAAAGTTGGTTTCATTGGTTTCCAACAAACCCAAATCCTGTCCTCAGTTTCCTAGTGTAAATCACCTTTATCCCCTACCATTTTTTAAAAAGATTTTATTTATTTATTTATTTGAGAGAGAGAGAGAGCATGAGCAGGGGGAGGGGCAGAGGGAGAAGCAGGCTTCCCGCTGAGCAGGGAGCCCGATGCGGGGCTCGATCCCGGGACCCTGAGATCATGACCTGAGCCGAAGGCAGACGCTTAACTGAGCCACCCAGGCGCCCTTTCCCCCCACAATTTAAGCTCATGTTGTAGTCTGACCCCACTCTCTTCTGACATACACCTTTCTCTGTAAATGGGGAGACATCCCACCTGCCCTTTGCCTTATACTGCCCAGGAATAAGCTACCGTCAAAGGATCTCAAGAGATTGTCCTTTAAGAAAGATTTCTTAACTTTCTAGTTTTCTATGCTCACGTGTCACTATGTCTCAGAAACACATGGAAGGAATAAGATATTTGTCTGATTGGAACCGGATAGCTCAGGAAATCTGTTCAGCATAAATAGTAAATGGCTCTTAATCTTGATTTGGGAAATGTTACCCCATTTGCTATGATTAGCGTGTGCTGTGGTGGGACCTGCCTGACATTATTCTTTGCATAGTTATAGAGCTCCAAATGTCAAACAACTTCCTCTTCAGTCTGATTTGTGACACAAGAATAAATAAATACGTCAAATGATTTTAAAGAAGGAAGAAACGGTACTCGAAAGTGACTTGGGTTGAAATCCTTTGCTACAAGGGAAGATTTTAGGAATCATTTCAGAAAGACCAAAGGTGCTGAGTAAAATAGGAAGAGAAAGAAAGACACCCAAAGTATTTTGGATCACAGATGGACTCCTTTTATGATGTAGCAGGAGAACAGAGCCTAGGAGCTCCATAACTTCACCCTTGCCTGACTCCTTTAAATATCTGAAAAGTTGAGATCTTCCAGAATCAACCAGGAAGGAGGAGTCTCCAGCCTCTTGAGAGAGTCCATTGGGCGTCAGAGGGAGTCTGTGATTGTTCTGTGTGGGTTGGTCTTTGTTAAAGGGCTTGCCATGGATTCCCTCTATAGGTGGTGCATCAGGATCATTTCAGTGTAGGTAACCGAATACAGAACTGTTTATTTCAGTAAACAGGGTAACAGGACTCAAGGGCTGAAAAATTGTGTATTCATAACTGATCTACGATCTCCATTTCCCCCTTCATCAGATTAACCTCTTCAAATTCTAGTACCACGGCTCCTTGTGTTACTTATGGTGTTGTGTTTAAGATTTCTTGGATTCAGATCCTCACTTCTCTACCGGGTGATCCTCCCAGGACCTCAATCTCCCCTCCACCCCCAGAGAGTTGGGATGATTAGAACAGAACCAGGGCTTACCAAAATTCAGCGAGTTCATTCTTGTAAAGCCCCAAGAGCCTGTCCCATGGTGGGTAAATACTCCAGGGATGTTAGCTGTGGTTTCTGTCATATGACCTCTGCTTACCTACTACTATTTTGAGCGAACAGACATGTCTGTTTACCGGTTAGTCATCCCCATTTCCTATTGATAGTTACTTGTATAACCAGCACCGCCTGTGCTATTGTTCTCTCACTAGCAAGAAAGATGATTTGTTAAACAATGGAGCTATTTGTGTTTTGCGTAAATAGCTTGGCAACAACCACCGTCCTTTTCACCTGTACACTTCTTGTTGCGGGACGTGATTATTCTCGTGTGGTTAATGTCATGCCAAGAGCCTGTTAAAAGGATAAAAGTTAGAATGTAAGCTCCATGAGGGCAGGAACCAAGTGGGTCTGGTCTACCACTGTGTCTCCTGTCCCTGGGACAGGGCCTCGCGCATGGTAGACACTCAGTAAACACTTACTCAATGAACAGGCATGTGAAGGAAGGGAAGAACTTTGTCACAACCATTCTCCTGTGGGTAGAGCGTGAGTTTCCTCAGAGAGGAAGGAGATTTCACTGTGTCTTTTAAAACCGATCTGAATCTGTCAGTCACAGGAGGGAGAGGTCTTTCCCTCAGACCTAGAACGAGCTCCCGGTGACTGGAGCCCTGGCAGGCAACAGAGCCTTCTGTTGCCTACCAGCTCACTGCTCTGAGGAGAACACTGGTATCATACCCTTCTGCTCACTGAGGAGAACACTGGTATCATAAGCTGCCCGTTCTACCAATCCCCAGTGAGAAATAATCAGACCATCCAGTTTTTACCAGTCCTTCCCACGCATGCCAGAATTTCAGGAGAAAGAGAGTGATGTAAAACTTGTTAGTGACATGTTCTTAGCTTTATTGAAATTCTTTCTTACAAAAGGTCTGATGTATTGTAGGCCAGGCCTAATTTCCTTTAGTCCCTGAAATCCAGGTCCATGGTTATTTCCATGTCCTCTTAAGTAAATATGTAAACTAGTAGACTTTTCGATTAAGGTTCAAACACTTATCATTGTGATTTTTATTTGATGTAAAACAAGACTTGTGTTTCCCCAAATGAAAAGACCAAGTAGGAAAGTTATGTGGGTCTTCATCAATGGGATAACTGGATTCTTTGCCAGAACTGACTTGGAATTTATTTCGTTCAATGTGACATCTTTCCACCTTCGGTATTTTCTTTTTTTAATGTCAACTTTGCAATGCTCTGAGCTATGTAGTGAAGAGTGCCATGTTTATATATGCATAATATACTGGTTCTGGAAAAAGATGCATGAGTACATGCGTGTAATGTAAACATAGCAATTGATCAGGAGAGTCTCTGATCATTAGGACATTAATGGATAATAAGCATATTGTAAGCAAAAAACCACCAATAGCACATATTGGTTTAGTTGTCAGCCAGGAACTCTGCTGGTCCTATACCTGGATGGTCCCAGGGGTCACTTTCCCCAGCCAAGCTGATGCTCACCCCATGTGACAGGTATTTGTGTATCCAAGGCCTGACTCAGTCTATGACTCCCCGAGGGAGGTGAGTCCGTGCTCACTTACTACCATGCAGCTTCCCTAGTCCTAGAACACGACGTATATGGCCTGGTTTGACCTCCTCCTCATGTCAAAAGCAGAATATGATCTCCCTGTCACTAGGAGAGGGGTGCAGACTAAGGACTGGCAGAGCCCCATGGCTCCTTCTTCTGCCAGAGGTTATAGGGGATCCTCATTTCCCTACAGGATCCATCAGGACACGTGTTCTGATCACAGGAGCACACCCAAAGAGTCCTGGAAAGTTCAATATCATCATCTCCAAACAGCTCCGAGACACAAGTAACTTGGCCTTGACCCTGATTGCCAGATGACTAAGTGTTGGTCTCGGTTTAACCCAGACAGCCCCCATGTCACCCTTCAAATCAGCTTTCCTCCTAGGTGGGTGGTTGGCCTGGAAGCCAGTCCGTGTCTGATCTTATATCCTGTAGGTTTGGAGTATGGAACCCTGTAGTCCCACATGCCTTGCACCCGAGCTCCCTGCTCAAGCCTAGTAAAAACACGCTAGGATTCAGGTAGAAACAATGGTTACTGTCATTCTCAGTGCCAGGTGAACAGGTCAGCTGAGTGCTACCTAGAGGTAAGGTCTTACCCCAGCTAACAAGCCTTGGGGGAATGCTGCAAAGTGGATAAATGAATTTAGCACCCAAGATACTATGTAGTACACAGGATAGTCACTCTATGGATGTCAGTTTCACTGCCCTTCTCCAAAGCCAGGCTGTCTCTTGCAGGGGCCGTGCATTTCCCTCTCACTCCTACTGGGGGCCCGTTCTCTATGTCACTTCCCTGAACTAAGGAATGGTGTACAGAGGCAGAGTAAAGAGGGAAGAGCGAAATCATTTGGTATAGTCTCTTGCTGGGAAGGAAGATGTCAAAACTCTTGGCCTAACTAAGGGAATTCTCTGAAGAGCAAATGGCCTGTCGGGCCTCCCTCCCAACCCCACCTGCTGCATTTCTCTCCAGCAGACTCTCAGCATTTAACCGACAGACCGAAGGTGAGCATGGGTATTGAGTCCTGATGCACAGTGCTTGCTTGGAAGGCTGGGCAAAATGATGATCCAGTAGATCCCAGAGCTGCACTTTGGAGCTGATGCCCAAGAGGAGAATGACGACAGGCCACCATGGTCCTGGGACAGGGATATGTGGGCCGGGGGATGCCGGGCTGGGCAGGGCAGAGGTGATGCCCGCACCCCAGGAGTGCAGGAAGGAGGCTCGGCAGCAGGGCCCCGGACCCTGGACCATGCCCACTTTCAGTGTCTGTTGCACGTCACCCCAGCATCCTCAGCGTGCCCGCAGTTTGTCACCCCCCATTTGGAGAAGCTGCAGCGGAAGATGGAATCTTCTGTACCCTTGCAGGCGACATCATCCATCCAAATCCTCCCTGTGCCTGTGGGGACAAGTCAACACGGTTCCTTAGCAGACATGCAGGAGAGCAGGACAGAAGACAAACAGAGCATTGCTGTGTCTGTTCTTGACCGGGCTGTCCTGGGCTCTGCTGGCAATTCTCAGATCTAGTGGTTCCCGCCTGCCCCCTCCACCGCCCACCAAGACAAACGCTCATTTTCTAGGCTCCGTTTCTTGAGGCCAGGATAACAATAACTGCGGTGACGGCAGTATGTATTGGTATCTCCTGCATGTCAGACGTCTCACGCATGTGATCTTCCTCCATCCTCATCACGGGGCTGTGAGATAGACCTCACTACACCCATTTTATAGATGGAGGGCTGAGGCTCAGGATGCAATTGGTGCAAGGTTGCTCAGCTCTTAAGTGGCAGGGTGTGAACTCAAGATCAAGTTGGCATAGGCCCATGCTTTCTATGCGACACCTCATGGCTTTTGATTTTTTTTTTTTTAAGTTTTTTTTTGACCAAAATTTTGGGCAGAGGAATTTTTTTTTTAAAAATTTTTTTTATTTATTTGAGAGAGAGAGAATGAGAGATGGAGAGCATGAGAGGGAAGAGGGTCAGAGGGAAGAGCAGACTCCCTGCCGAACAGGGAGCCCGATGCGGGACTCGATCCCGGGACTCCAGGATCATGACCTGAGCCGAAGGCGGTCGCTTAACCAACTGAGCCACCCAGACCTCATGGCTTTTGAGATACAATCTCTTGCAGTCTTTGTTGCCGAGTACTCAAGCGTGGGCTGATCTGAGGGACAATGTCCGATAGGCCCTGGATGGGACAGATCCGGTGCGCCATAACCAAGTAGGTCAATGCCAACATTACCTCCGATCTTTTGAAATTTAAAGCAGATGGTTCCATCATGCCGAGCCCAAAATAGTGGTGCTAGAATGGCAGGGGACCCCCGAATTTAACATTATGGCCAAACATCATTTAATGACAGGCAGAAGCATCCCTAATCAGAAGTAATTAGATCAGTTCCCAAAGTATAAGGTCCCTAAGACAATCTATTGGAGTTTCACCTGCAGCTAGTCCTGTTTACCCAGATCTTAAGGGGACATGCCTGCTGGTCTGATAACTCGCTTTCGTTGGCTTTCCCAGGAATGGAAAGAAACTTGGGAGACAGAAACTCGGCATTGCAGTTCTTCAATGAATGTCAGAAGACTAGAGGACTAGGGCAGCCGGGTGAGGCTCCAGGAGGTAATAGAGAAGGCCTGTCTGGGGTCAGAGGGGCCAGTGGAGAGGGGAGTGGGCTACACCACAAGTCACCTGGCGCCCCCACTGATCAACTGGCAGGACCATCACTCATGGTTCTGCCGTGTTCTCTGTGCTCATGGCCATGCCAGGCCCCAGAGGATGGGAGTCCATTTGGGAGCCCTCTGGAAACCTGACTGAGCTTTAGGACACCCACAGAAGCAGTGGCTTAGAGCCTGGTTACTCCAAGTGTGGTCCTGGACCAGAGCATCAGCATTACCCAGAGCCTATTAGAAATGCAGAACTTCGGGTCCCACCTAGGACTACTGAACCAGAATCTACATTTTAACCAAGAGATTATGTGCTGCAGTTTGAGAAGCACCGATGGAGCAGAAGAAGCAGGGATTTACAATTAGTAGGACAGGTCTTGATTCAACTCCCAGCCCCATCTGGGGGACCATTTCAGTTTTAAAACTGGGACGGGATTCCCAGGATGTGAGAATTTGGGTACTAAAACCAGGTACCTTCTGGATAAACCAGGATTGTTCGTCACTCCAGGACCCTAGCTTGTTAGGTCTATGAACTGGCCCCAAAAAGCATGGGGTTAACAGGTCATAAACTAGCTGTGTCAACCTGGCAAGTCAGATGAGGCAATAAATTGTTCCTGATTTTTAAAGGACTTCGAAATCTACCAAAACCCTATAAAAAAGATAGCTCAGGGATTGGCACCACGCCCTGACCCTAGCCCCGTCTCCTCCTCGGCCATCTCTCAGCGTCCAGACAACTCCTTCAAGAGGAATTGTCGGGATAACTCTAAAAACCTTCAAACCGCCACTCACTCTTGAACTGCATGGGGGAATTCTCTTTACAAAGAACGTCCAGGAAACATTGAACCCTTTCATGCATACCGCATGAGCTGTGTGGTCTAGATGTATACTCGTTACACAGGGATTTTCGGCCTCTGTTGTCATGGGATGGCCGAGCAGTGAACGTGGGGACAGAGCTGGGAGGAGGAGAGGCCTCCTTCCGCTGTCTTGGCCTTTGCTTCTTCACGAGAGCCTCTTCCCTGGCCCGGAGACCCTGTGCATCTTACACAATAAGCCCTTTGAGGCCGAGCAATAATTTGCAGATTAAATGTCTCCTGGAAAACACATCAGTTTACAAATTACCCAGGAAAAGCCTGCAGGCCCAAGAGCTCTGTGGGATTAGTCACACCCAAAACAAATAAAGAAGCCAATAAAGGAAATTGACAAATACAGAACAGGCCCAAGGTAACCAGCTCAAATGCGTATATAGGCTCACGAAACTCCAAACTCTGGTGGGTGTTTTTGCCAGGGAGTTCTGGCTATTTTGCAGTCATGGAAGAGCTAATAAAATAAGAATTGGGTCATTAAATCAGCAGCGCTGGATAGCTACAGTCTTACAGCATCATGGGGCATCGCGGGCGGCCAGTTAACCTGTGAATCAGCCCCACTGCTCACCATGTCAGAGAGCCTGGAAATCCCACTCTATGCACCAATCATCACTTTAGCTTTAGAACTGACATCTGAGGACTCAAAGTGAGGCCCCAAGACCAGGCGTGTCGGCATGACCTGGGAGCTCGTTAGAAATACGGAAGCCTGCGTCCGCCCAGACTTGAATCAGAATTTGCATTTTTAAGAAGATCTCCATGATTCGTATGCACATTCAAGTCTGAGGAGCCCTCCTCTCGAAGAGGTCCGTACTTCTGCGCAGCTATCTCTGCAAGCTCCCTAACAAAGCCCTGGGACAACACAGGGTAGGGTGCTCTGCTCCCCACTGTTTAGATCAGGAAAAGGAAGCAATAGGGTGACATTTTATCTTGAGGGGGCAAAATTGGGACCAGAGGCCAGATCTTCTGACACTCAGACACCAGGGGCTGTTGAAGGTCATATTGTTGGGAATGAGTAAGTGGAGATTTTATTTTATCCTATTCATTCATTCATTCATTCATTCATTCATTAACATATATTTGAGGGCCTATTCCATGCTCAGCGCTATCCTGGGTGTTTGGAATACATCAACGAACAAAAAAATGATGGAACAACAAGAAAAATCTCTGCCTCGTGGAGCTAACGTTTGAGCTTCTACATGTTTATTTGGAGTAATATTAATAGAAGGAATAAGTTACACTGAATCCTCCAGGCTCCCCTCAGAGCCTCACACAGAGGTAATCAGAACAGCTTATCAAATAGATATTTAAGAGATGGGAAAACTCAGAAAGATTAAGTGACTTGCCCCATAACGACTAAGGGCAAAAGACTATCTCCCAGGCCTCTGACGTGCAGGCAGTCCAGGGCTTGCACCTTACAGGGACACAGTGCACAGCATGAACACCAGGCCAGGGGCAGCAAACCATGGGCCAGGTCAGCCCACTGTGCTTTTGTAAATAAAATTTTATTGGAACACAGCCCCACTGGTTGACTATGTTTTGTCTATGGCTGCTTTCGTGCTACAAGAGCAGAGTTGAGTAGTGAGAGAAACCATTGGCCCACAAAGCCTAAAATATTTACTACCTGGCCCTTTCATGTTTGCTGACGCGTGCACAAAGCCATCTCCCCATATTTGGATCTTATTGTAGAGGAGAAAGGCAAAAACTGGTCATAAGAACGTGATTGGAAGTAAACACTCCCAATTCCATCCCTCGCACTCTCACCTACAAATCTGTCTGCATTTGTACCCATCCTCACCTCCTTTTGTCTGTCTCCTAGAAAGATCTTCCCTGCAGATCCAAGGCTACCTCCCAGCTGGGCTCCTTCCCCGCCTCTTCCTAGACCTCCTCCCACCCATCACCAACCATCTGCTCCAACTGCATTTCCTCCCTCTCCAACAGCTCTTGGACCCATTTAAAACTGAAAAACACCTTTAAGGGGCGCCTGGGTGGCTCAGTCATTAAGCTTCTGCCTTTGGCTCAGGTCATGATCCCAGGGTCCTGGGATGGAGCCCCACATCCCGGCTCCCTGCTCGGCAAGAAGCCTGCTTCTCCCTCTCCCGTTCCCCCTTGTGTTCCTGCTCTCGCCATCTCTCTCTCTCTCTGTCAAATAAATAAATAAATTCTTTAAAAAAATTAAAAAAAGAAAAACACCTTTAAGTCTCTCCCATTTGGCGATTTCTTTGCCTTTTTTCCCCCCAGAGAAATGGATACTTTGGTGATTGAGCCCTGTCCAGGGAAACTTGTATGGTGCCAGACCCCTAAAAGAACTAACAGGGATTGGAAATGTCTTGTAATCTACCAGGGAGGACTCAGGTTAGCGAGCACCGAAGTTCCTTCTTTCTTTCCTCCCTCCCCTGTCCCCCCCACCCCCCCTTCCTCCCTCCCTCTCACATTTAGCTGGTACCTATGAAGTCCTAGGCACAGTCCTGGGTTTTGGAGCTGGGAAGGTAAAGCCCTCAAGATGTTCACACACGCATCAGTGCTCAGGAGAGCATGAGAGATGCCATGTTAGAGACACGACGCCAGGGGAGCGGGGAATGGGCTGGGGATGGAAGTCACCAGCAAAGCTCCCCTCAGGAGCTGATGATTGAGCTGACTTTAGAAGCTGACCAGGAATTAGCTAGATAAGAAGGAGGGGAAGGCACTCCAAACTGAACTTGAAAAGATACGGAAACGTGAAACAGCCATGGGAGCTCAGAGAACACAAGGGTCCGCATGTGGCTGGAGGGTGAGAGAGAGGTGGGAGGCAGAGTAGGAGGGATCTCGTTTCAGAAAGAGCGCCGGCAGCCATGAGGAGGGAGGTGACAGGAGCCAGGCTGGAGGTGAGCAAGAAGCTCATGGAGGGTCACAGCCACCCCTGCACCCACGTTCACTGGCACCCGACCTCCACCCAACGTAGAGCAGAGGACTGAGCACACCAGGGCCTACACTGTGCTTACTGCTTGACACACGTGATCGCACTTAGCAAATGCCACCATCCTTCAAAAGTGGGAGGGCTCAAGCTAGGGGAGGTGATAAAATCTGCTGCTCCAGGCCACCAGCTGGAAGTGGCAGATTTGAGATTCTAACTTGGGTTGGACCCACAGCCTGAGCTCCTAACCACCGCTCTACCCTGCTTGGGCTCCTAGGGCAAGAGCAGTGAGGACAAAGAGGAAGGGACGGAATCAAGGGACACCAGAGAGTAGACACTGGTGAAATCTGTGGGACTCAGGGACGGGCCAGATGAAGGGATGGCGAGAGGGAGAGAGGGGGCTGGGGGACGGGCCAGCAGTCCTGGCAGGCAGGGCAGGAAGCACATCCAGAGGGCACAGAGAGAGGCCAAGCCATGGAGGGAGGGGCCAGGGCTTGGGAGACTGAGCCTGGGGATGGGCAGACCGGGATCAGGAGTCGGGCCCTAGTGGGGAAGAGGGCTGTGGTCAGAGGGGTGTCCCCATCTGAGGCACAGCCCTACCGCCGCCGTGAGAGGCCACATCCCCTCCCACCCCCCGCCCCCATGGCGACCATGGCATAAGAATCAGTAAACACACCTGCCTTTCCCTTTACACTGAACCTGTTGAGGCTGGAGGCGAGGGTTACTCAACCCTGTGTCCCAGCACCGAGCCTAGTGCCCACCGACGGGAGATGGGAGGTGCCTAGAGGCTGCTGAGGAAGCAGGCAGAGCAGGCTGGCTTCGGAACAAGGGCTCAGAAAAGCCTCAGCTGGGCCAGCCCCTTTTCTTACCCGCTGTGAGCCCCTTCATAACACCTGGCTGGCCTACCTGTCGAGGTCTCGAATATCACATAAGAGACTAGATGGGGACGGGGACGGGGAAATGACAGTGCAGATGTGATATGTACGGGGAAGGGAGTCCGGTTTTGCGCTGACTGGTTTAAAGTGATGATTTCAGGGGCACCTGGGCGGCTCAGTCAGGTGAGCAACAGACTCTTGGTTTTGGCTCAGGTCCTAATCTCAGGGCTGTGAGATCGAGCCCTGCCTCGGGCTGCTTGCTCAGAGGGGAAACTGCTTGGGATTTTTCTCTCTCTCTCTTTCTCTCTCTCTCCCTCTGCCCCTCCCCCCCCAATAAATAAATAAATCTTTGGGGGAAAAAAGTGGCGATTTCAGAGCTTCCTCACTTGTCACATGCTACAAAAATCAAGGGGGAATTAAAGAGGCCATGGAGTCTCCGTTGGGGACGAACACTGCCCATGATATTCAAACGACTTGTTTTCGGCTTCTCTAAAGGAGTTTCTGATATTTTTCGTCCCCACAGGTTTTACTTCCACTCCCTAGGAAGGCGTCTTCCCTGATGGCAAGAATGGAAAAGCAAGGACTGTTTCCACAGTCCCTGTTCCTCATGCAGACAGAAATGGCGTTTTTCCTTGAAGAAAACAGGCTGAAATCTGGCCTGAAGCTTTAAGTGGGAGGAAAGCGCTCTCTCCGGGCGGGCTGCCCTCGCAGGGGCTGGACTCTCTGAACTCCCCCCACGCCCCCCTGGCCTTGGCCTTCGCTGGAGAGGCCAGGACGGGCGGGGCCAGGCAGTTGCTCTCTGCCTGTGGTCACGACAGATTTCACCAGTCACCTTCAGCCCCTGGGACTGGGATCGTCTCCTCCTGCTCAGCTGACTGTAACAAAGTACCATTGACTGAGTGGCTTCCAAACAACAGACCTTTATGTCTCACAGCTCTGGAGGCTGGGAGTCCGAGATCAGGGTGCCAGCATGGCTGGGTTCTGAGGAGGGCTCTCTTTTGGGTGGGAGACCGCATCCTTCTCTGTGTATCCTCAGGGAAAGAGGACGAGGGAACTCTTCAGGGTCCCTTTTATAAGAGCGCGGGTCCCATCATGTCATGACCTGATCGCCTCCCAGAGATCCCCCTCCTCATCGCGTCACGTTGGGGGTTAGGATTGCAATATATGAATTCGGGGGAGACACAGTCTATAACAGTGCCGGGGGGTCTAAGGGCTGAGATTCTGAATCAGAGTTGCCCCAGCCCCTGGTGGAGATGAGGCGAAGGGTGACTGAGCAGTGGAGGGTGCCACGGCCAGCCTGGATGTGACATGGCTCCGTTTCTCTCTCTGGAGCAGATGCGTCAAACCCTCCCGCCACCCCCCCTTCCCCCACGCCATGCCCTGAGTCCCTTTAGCCTTCCAGCACGGTTGGTCGGGCAGCCAGGGTGTCGGGCAGGACAGCGACCATGCCTGGCTCCACTCCATGACACAAGGAGCGCCCCCAGCTGGGCCAGCTCTTCCTCCGCAGGTCACAACGGGGACCTGGCAACCGAGTGTGAGTGGATCGGTCCAAATTCCTCCCCACACCTGTCAGGACTTGGGTCCTCGACAGGAGCATTCCAAATCCCAGGGGACTCAAGCTGGAAGGCACATCACAGAGTCTGCAAGCCCTTTTAAGTTACAGACAGGGACGCCAAGACCCACAGGGAAGAAGCAACAAGATCACAAAGCCACCGGTCAGCACGCTCTCCTACGGGTGTGGGGAGTCCTGCGTTGGTGCATGTGGGACTGTTGCTGTACTTGTGAGTCAACGCAGGTTTCTTCAAGCTCAAGGTCTGACGGAGGAGAAAGCATGTGTGAACGTGAATTTTGTATTTGAGTGTGAAAGTGTATGTGGTGCCATGGATGTTTAGCACATGTCAGTAGGTGTGTAAACAAGTGATCCCATTTTGTGTGTCGCTTGGGTGGCGGTCACAGCAAGCATGGCACGGTGTAGAGAGTGCTCTGTGCTGGATTGTGTTCCCCCAACTGTGTTGAAGTCCTAAGCCCTGACACCTCGAAACGTCACTGTTTGGAGACAGGCCCCTTAAAAGAGGTGATTAAGGTAAAATGAGGCCATTGGGGAGGGCCCTAATCCAAGGTGACTGTGTCCTTATAAGAAAAGATTGGGACACACACAAAGCGAAGACCTTGTAAAGACATAAGAAGAAGACAGCCACGCACGAGCCGAGGACAGAGGCCTCGGGAGAAACCAAACCCGCTGACACCTTGATTGTGGACCCTCCAGCCTCCAGAACTGTGAGAAAACAAAATTCTGTTGCTTCAGCTCCACAGGTCTGTGCTATTTGTTACAGCGGCCGAGCAGACTAACGCAGAGTGCTAGCCTGAGGGACAGACACAGTGCCATGGATGGGGACTGGAGCTGGGCATCTGCCCAGAGGAGGTCTGCACCCCTCCCTCACAGCGCCTTGTGCCATCTGCAGGACGGGAGGCGCGCTTGAGCATGTTGAAAGGAAAGCAACCAAAATGGTGAAGGCTTTCAAAATCCTGCCACGTGAGGACGAGATGGAGTTATTGGAGATATCCACCGGAAGAAGAAAAGCCTCAGAGAGGGTCAGGGACAGCCTGCAGAATGGATGAAAGCCTGGCCTCCTAAGCCACCTGCCATTTGCTAGCTGTGTGACCTGGGGCAGGTCATTCAACCTCTCTGCCTCGGTTTCCTCATTTGGAAAGTAGGGATGATAGCTCTACCTACTTCCTAGTGTTGTAAGGGTTAAATGAGTGAATATCTGTAACATGTTTAGAACCGAACCTGGCACACAACGGGCGCTATATAAGCATTTGGCCCTCTCTGTGCTCCATCACAAAAATGCAACAGAGCTAAGTGCAAGGGAGACGCAGGGCTGAGAACGAGAGCCCACAGGGGAATCCGACAGGAGACCAGAAATAAAAGGAGTTCAATCCAAGGAAAAGAAGAATGTTCTAATAACCAGAACTGTGTGAAGACATGCCGGCTTGCGTGGGGGACAGCAAGCCTCCCGTTGCAGGAATGTGGGGGGCAGAGGCCAGGTGACCCTTGGCGGGACTGCTGGGGCAGAGACTCATGCTCTGGGGAGGAGACCCGACGAGCATTCCTGGGCCCTCTCCCCCAGAGGGCTTACCTTGCCCAAACCGCGCTGTCCGGTACACCTCCTCCACGCCGCGGAAGCCCAGCATGCGGCACACCACGTCGCCGTCCTTCTTGTCCCAGCCGTCGTCACACACGGTGCCCCAGCGCCGCTCGTGGTACACCTCCACGCGACCTTCGTGCGGCCCCGAGCCATTCACCAGCCGGATCATCACGGCCTCCATGCCACCTGCTGGGAGCAGCCCGCAGACACCGCTGAGCTCTTGGCACGCCCGGCACCCCACCGCTCACGGGGGACCTGCCCCCCCCACCCCCGCATGGGGCACAGGGGACCCAGACCATGACCTGCAGAAACCCTGGGGTCTCACCCCTGCCCTTGATCAGTCTGCTTCTCTCTACCTTTTTTTTTTTCTTTTAATATACTTCATTTTGGGGGTCACCCGAGTGGCTCCGTCGGTTAAGCATCCAACTCAGTTTTTAACTCATTTGGGTAAATCCCAAAGGAGTGTGATTGCGGGATATTTCTCCACCTTTTGGGACCTGGTGACCAGCAGTCATGCCTGCCAGGGAGGAGGGGGAACGGAGAAAACCAAGGAAGGATCCAGACTCTCCTAGCAGGTGGCCTTGCTGTGCAACACAGTAGCTGGGGAGGTCCCCATGAAATGTCTCAGCCCTGCGTTCCAGCGTTCGTGCCTACTTTCCCACTGGGCTGTGAGCATGAAAGTGTGCAGCCAGACAGGCCTGGGTGTGAATTCTGTCTCTCCCACTCACTGTAAGTGGGAGACAGTAGCTCATCAAATCTCAGATGCCACTTTTTGTAAGGCACATCACTATCATATGTGCTACTAAGAAGGAAAAAGTTCTGCCAGTGACAGTGGCAAATTATGTCAATTGCGAGATGCTTCCAGATTTCAGAGATGTGAAGTTGTGTGTCACAGAATCAGTGAGATGTGGCAATCCATGAAGAGCTTAGAACAGTACCTGGCACATAGAAGACTCTTCTTTCTACCTGAATGATCTTATGAAAGACTCACAGCCTCTCTAAGGGTATGTCCCCAATTGTGACATGGGGGCAACATGTAGGGCTATTGTGCAGACCAAATGAAATCATGTGGGGGCGCCTGGGTGGCTCAGTCAGTTGAGCATCGGACTCTTGATTTCGGCTCAGGTCGTGATCTCAGGGTCATGGGATTGAGCCCCATGTAGGGCTCTCTGCTCAGCACAAAGTTTGCTTGTCCCTCTCCCTCTGCTCCTCCTCCCGCTCATGCTCTCTCTATTTTTTTTTCAATTTTATTTTATTTAAATTCAATTAATTAACATAGAGTGTATTATGAGCTCCAGAGGTAGAGTTCACTGATTCATCAGTTGCATATAACACTCAGTGCTCATTACATCACGTGCCTTCCTTAATGCCCATCACCCAGTTACCCCATCCCCCCACCCACCTCCCCTCTCTCTCTCTTAAAATAAATACATAAATAAAATCTTTAGGGTACCTAGGTGGCTCAGTCATTAAGCGACTGCCTTCGGCTCAGGTCATGATCCTGGAGTGCCAGGATCGAGTCCCGCATCGGGCTCCCTGCTCGGCGGGGAGTCTGCTTCTCCCTCTGACCCTCCCCTCTCTCATGCTCTCTCTCTCTCAAATAAATAAAAAAAATCTTTTAAAAATAAATGAAATCATGTGTATAAGTCTCCGAGCATGGTGCCTGGCACACTGTAGACCCTCAGCAAATCCTAGGCTCCTCCTCCTCCTTCTCTCGTGGCTGAAACTCTCTCACATTCATCTATAAACTCTATTTAGCACAGAGCCTGGTTCTAGGAAATGAACAGTAAATGTGCTGCGCAGATGAATGAAGATTCATTCTTTTGCAGTACAAAGCATTGCCTTATTTCTCCAAGGGGATATTTTGGGGACTCAAAGAACACTGGAGCAGCTGAAACAACCCTTAAGATCATCTCAATGCCAGCATCTGGCTGGGAAGTCACGGTGTCGGGCCATACACACTGTTAGTGTCAAGGGAGGAGTGGGAGCTCGGGTCCCCTCATGTGTCTTCTAAGGTCCTTTCACCATCCAGGAGTGGGGTAGCGATCTTCTTCCCTCGGAGACCAGAACTTCCTCACTTGACAAGATATTGGAGTGGTCATTGGGTCTTAAATCTGGTCACACATCAAAATCATTAGGAATGCCTGGGGCGCCTGGGTGGTTCAGTTGGTTAAGCGACTGCCTCCGGCTCAGGTCATGACCCTGGAGTCCCGGGATCGAGTCCCGCATCGGGCTTCCTGCTTGGCGGGGGGGGTTCTGCTTCTCCCTCTGACCCTCTTCCCTCTCGTGCTCTCTATCTCTCATTCTCTCTCTCTCAAATAAATAAATAAAATCTTTAAAAAAAATCATTAGGAATGCCTGTAAAATGCAGATTCCTGGGCCCACTTGGACCTACTGGATCAGAGTCTTGGTGGTGGGAGTCAGAGATCTGTCATTTTTACACGTGTCCCCCATGATTTCAAGGTACTACATGTATGTGGACAGGCATTTGGGAGTGATGGGAGTGGATGATCTGTAAGGTTTTTTTCCAGCTCCAGTGTTCAGTGATTCCAAGGCCAGGGAAGAGGTGGAAGAGGTCAAAGGTGTCTCTTTTTGTTTTTCTTTTTGCAGCCAGAAACCACCTGGGGCATGTAGGGTGGTGGTGAAGCCATTGTACTGTGACACGGTGACACGTGCGTGACATGATGCAGAAAAGACCCTTATGTGAACTGCCAGAGAAAACAGCAAATCCGATCAAGCTCCGTGCCCAGTAAGTACTGCACTCTCAGACCATTTTTTTCTTCTTTTTTTGGCCAAGTGGGCTGGGGGATTCCCCCCTTCCAATGACTGTGACCTTCACAGGCCCCTGCAGGAAATGGTAGGATTGATAAACCCCACATCTGTACCACATGAGAAAGGAGAGGAGTTAGAATTGGCCACATGTCCGTCATGTGCTGCCTGGGCTGGGGAAACCCCAGAATATTCTGTACTGGGGAACCAAAGAAGTCACCAGAAAACCACTCAAGGCGCTGAAAGATCACAGATGGATGACTCTGAAAGGCTTCTTGAAATGTTGAATGGCATTTTCTACACATCCTTCATCCCTGACCGTTCTTCCCATATGGATTTGCTGCAAACACGAGCTCATACCAGGCTGTCAAGGCTGAGGATGAGCAAGAGAACACAGGAATCCTGGAGAAGGAAAACATGGAGAGAAGCTAGAAGGCAGAGACCGGGTCTGAGACAGAGAAACTCCCCAGGGAGCAGTAATGACAAGCTAACCTGGAGCCAGCAGCCGCATATGAGGCCTGGCCCCTGGCTGGGGGCTTGCCCTGGTGGGTTGGCCGAAGCTGAGATGTCAGCCCTGATTTCTCACAGAGCTGCCTCGCCTCTGTCAGCAGCCTGTCACAGTGGCCGTGGGCCACACCAGGCCAGCCTCCAACAGAAGCCTCGGTGTGGGGTCGTAAGTAGAAGAGAGAAGAGACAGGAGAATGTTGTGGGTCCCAGAGCAGGCCAGGCAGACGTCAGGGTGTCAGGTCAAAATAATAGGAAGAGGCCCACTGTGACCCAGGAAGCCAAGGCTGACATTCCGAGATTCCCCCATACCCCCCCTGCTCGGGCCAGCCTGAACTCACGTCATTCATGTCTTAGTTTAGCAAAATAAGTGACTGATCATCTCTTAAAGGCCTGGTCCTGTTCTAGGAGCTATGGATATATCCATGAACAAAGTCTCTGCCCTCAGGGACTGGTATTTTAGTGGAGAGACTAGCAGTACTAGGGGGAAAAAAGTAACTATGGCCAGGTAGTGATGAGTGCATAGACAGGAACAGAAGCACAGAGAGGGGACAGAGAGGGGCACCTGGGTGGCTCAGCTGTTAAGCGTCTGCCTTCGGCTCAGGTCATGATCCCAGGGTCCTGGGATCGAGCCCTGCATCGGGCTTTGCGGGAAGCCTGCTTCTCCCTCTCCCACTCCCCCTGCTTGTGTTCCCTCTCTCGCTGGGTCTCTCTCTGTCAAATAAATAGATAAAATTAAAAAAAAAAAAATGAAAGGGGACAGAGAATGAGAGGAGGTGCCATCTTAGGTGAGGAGACAAGGAAGGAAATGGAGAGCAAGGGGATGTGCCATCTTAGGTGAGGAGATAAGAAAGTGAATGAAGAGTGAGGGAAGGCGCCATCTTGGACAGGGACACAAGGAAGGGAATGGAGAAGGAGGGGATATGCCTTCTTGGAGAGAGACAGGGAAGGGAGTGAAGAACGAGGGAAGGTGCTATCTTAGAGACAGAGAGACAAGGAAGGAAACGGAGGGTGAGGAAAGGTGCCATCTTGGAGAAAGAGAGAGAGACAAGGAAGGGAATAGAGAGTGAAGGGAGGAACCATCTTGGATGGGAGGGAAGAAGGAAGTTCTTGAGTAGAGACCTGAATGAGCCAGAGGAGGACATGAACTCCCCCATCTCTATAAAACCCCTCTCTGTGCTCCCGCCTAAGCTTTTCTTGTCCTTTAAATCTCAGCTTACATGTCCCATCTCCCTAAAAGCCTCCCCACATCCCCCACACCTGACCAGGGCCTCTTCTTTGGACGTACTTATTACTTCATCTAATAATTGCCTGTCCGTCTTCTTAGGACACCGAGAGCATTCCGAGGACAGATCACATGGCCTGATACAGTGCTTGTACATCAAGCTGCCCAAGCTGTGCAAAATGAAGGCATGTGTGAATGAATGAACTCAGATAATACAGACCCAGGTGGGCAGGTCCTGGCTATGGGACATAGCTCCTCAGAGCCTAGGGCTTTCGTATGAACCCAGAGAATTAGCCATCAGGGCATCCCACAGCTCCAACACCCACTTTATGACATCAGAGCCCCTTCTACTCACTCATTCACTGATGGCTTCTTCTGGTGGGACGGTCCTGGGTTCTGGACCCCAGGGCTAGGCTATTGGTACAATGACCATACATTCCAAATGAGAAAATAGGGTTGTGGTCTGTCATATGATATGGTGAGCACTGGAAGAAATCTGGAAAATGTCATCTGGTTGCTGAAATATTGGAATTCCCAGGAGGCTTTGATGTATATGGAAGTGGCAAAGAACATGTGAAAACAGGACAACTTCAAAAAATTGGACACATATGGTAACCATAATTATGAGACTCACAGAATCAATTTCAAGGATGTCTCTCTGGTTTATGTCCCACGATCTCCATAAACC